AAAGCCCTGCCGGGTTTGTGTTGAGTAATTCCCATTCCTGGTCCAGGCACCAGACGGTGTTCCCTGTTGTTGGTTCTGGCTTGGTCTTGGCTCTGAGCGTGCACGTTGCTAGGCTTCAGAGTGGAACAGAAGTGCTCGAAGGGAGGAGAAAGGTATCAGAAGGTATCAGAGTGTCTTTCTTCTGTCTCCTCAAGCTGTTACAGTGGGAGGGTTAAGTGCAGACCAGAGCCAACCGAAGGCCTTCTTGGAGACAGGGTCAATCATAGAACCTATCCAGGTTTCCAGGCCTGGGGATTTGCTTATGTTACTTTTTAAATGTTAAACTTAAATAGTTCTTGCTGCGATAGACTCTGTGCTAAGTGTTTTAAAATATTAACTCATTTAATCCTTAAAATATTAGCACATTTAATCCTTACAACAGCTCTATGAACTTGGAACTCTATTGTCTGAATATTGTCTGAATTTTATGGATGAGGAAACTGAGGCCCAAAGAGGTTAGGTGACTTGCTCAAGGTCACACAGCTAACAAGTGGTAGCTCCAGGATCTGAACCCAGACAGCTTGTCTCCTGAATTCAGGCTTTTTTAACCACTAGGCGATGTTGCCTCTGGTTTATGTACAGCCCCCCCAGGATTTCCTTTGGAGCTTTCAAGTCTGATTTTACAAAATATCTTCTCCAAGGTCTAACACCCTCTGTTAGGTGCTGGCCAATGTGTGTGTCCCTCTGAAATTTCTGTGCAGCTCTGGAGATATCTGCTAGCAGTTGTGTATTCACAGGCTCCATCCTGTAGAAGACATCAGAATCAGACTTTCTCTCTCTCTGGGGATCAGGGCACAAGAAAGTCATTTCTATTCATACAAACTTTAAGAAATAAAATTTCAGCGTATGTTTAATAAAAATAAAATGTCACACTGTGTTATCCTCTGCATATGAAGTGCCCCACTCCCACATAAGCGAAGATGTTACTCCAGAATCGGTTCCCAATCAGGGTGAGTTTGCAGGGAGCGGTCCCTACGTTCCCCACGCAGGCCCATAGGAACAGCATTATGAATTTTTTAGATGGTTGGCTGGACTGGGAGTGCAGTTCAGAGCTGTAGGACAGATCTTCTGGTGAGAGCAGCAAACTGGTCTGGAGAAAAGCCCACGACCTTGGCCTGTTTGCCCTGGAAGTCTGGCCGTGACCCTGAATGTCTGCAGATCCTCTGACGTTCCCTCTCTCCCTCTGGCTGTGCCCCAGATGGCTTTCCCTGGTAGGAGCTGGGTTAGCAGAGTAGCCTCACAGGAAGTTAGCATGAGCTCGGCTTCCCGTTGCCCACACGAACTCTGGCTTGTGTTGAGGGACTGGGCCTTGTTGTTGTGCAGAGAGGGACGTGTCTGGCCTCTTCCATGACTCCTGCTGGTTTCCCACTCATGATTCCCGTAGCCTCTGCCCATTCTCCACCTCCAAAATGCTTGTCTTGGGTCATCCTCCCACAGTTCTAAGATGGCTGGAACTGGTAGAAAGTGAATTCCTGCTAAGAAATTAGCTGATAACATCTGAGGCATGGGCTCTCTTCTGTATATGTTTTTGCATCTTAACAGGGACATTCAAAACCAAAAAGTTTAAAAATTCAAAGGAATGAATATCTAGAAGTAGACAGCAGGTCTCCTTTACCTGAGAGAGATTTGGGAGCCTGATGTTCTGTAGATCTCCCACATTTATATATGCATTTAAAACTGGCCTAATGTCGGTATCAGGTCCACAGATGCCCTCAAATCCAGAAAAAAATTATTCACTTTGGAGCAACTCTCTCTGAGTTTGTTCTTAGAACTTATCAAATCCTAGGACCCAGGTCAGGGCATGCTAATGAGTTTGGTTTATTGGCAACTGGAGCAAGGTCCTTTGTCAAGTGGGGTATTTCCTCTGACATCACTGGACTGCTCATCAGTTCCAAGGTGGGTCTTTGCCAGGAAAACCTGAATTGAAGAGGAGGCTTGGCCTTCGGGGAAAAGGGCTTGTGTCCTGGCAGGCCGGGTGTGTCTGCTCCAAGCAGGTTCTCAGAGCCACTGACTCCCTGAGTTAATGCACTTTTGACCCAAGAGGAAAAAAAGGCATAAACAGCAGAGCTACAGTAGTCTGCTCTTACTGGGTGGGACTTTTGAACTGGTGGGATGGTGACAGCCCCAGACCCACCTACTCCATCAGAGGCCACCGTCTTCCCTGCCTACCCCACCTGCCTTCCCTCCCTGCCCTCAGCACTTCCCTCCCTATTCTCATGAAGACCAGCTGCCTAGGTGACACCTTTTGCTTCCAAAACTTTCTTTGTAGTTCTTCTTTGACCCTTTTCTCAAAATATCCTCTCTTTCCTCCTTTAATGCCAGACTGTTGGCATCTGTCCCCCTGTCTTGTGCAGGCTGCCATCTCTGGCTCACCATGGTTTTATAATTGCCTCTGGTTAAAGTTTAAATAGATGGGTTTCAGCCCAAGAGAAAAATGTAAACAAGCCTTTTCTGCAGTCTTTCAGAATTGCTGACTTCCAGTGCTTCTGAATTCTCTGCTAGGAAATTCATTCAGCTCCTCCCTAACCAAGGAACTGAGAAACACCACCGCACTTTCAGAGACCCGAGAGCCACTCCGAAACCATTGAGAGGCTTTTAGATAATCTACAGTTTTCCTTTTAACTCAATTAAGCCATCAGAATCCAGTTCCTATTCTAGGATGTTTGTCTGATGGATTGAGGTGAGAGAACAGTTAAGCAATCTTCACAGGCTGGCTTCTGAAGAAAGGAAGGAAGGAAGTGAAACGGATTGTCATTTCCCTGCTGGAATTTTTTCTTTGAGGGGAGGAGGAGATTGTATTTATTGACCCAGGTTTTTTGGTTGATGAGCTTGTTTTACCGGTCATGAGAGCGGGACCATTCTTGGCCAATGCAGAAGGAAGAGGGCAGGGTGGGTTTGAGCTGGTGATTGAGGCATACATCCCTTCCTTTGCTGTGTTTCCTCAAAAGTAAGTAGGCCATCCTTTTCGGAGTCTTGACTAAGAATATTGATTTTCTATATTTTTCTGCTTTGTGTACTTGTGATCTGGTGTCAGGATGGATTCAGCAATAATTTCGGATGTTTTAGTCAAGGATTTGATTGGATCCTTGCCTTCCTGCTCAAAAACCTTTAATAATTCCCCATTTCAAGTTCAGGCCTATTCAAAGCCTTCCATGGTCTGACTCCAACCTACCTTCACCGTCCACTATTGCAACCATACTCCAACCTCACTGAACTTTCCACCCAGCTCCTGTAACGTGTTCCCTTATGCTTCAGTGCCCCAACGCCTGCTGACCTCTCCCCTGGCCTCCTCAGAATGCCATCTTCCTGTGTTCTGTGAAACATTTCTTGCTCTCCCTGTTCAACCAGAACCAACCACTCCTTCCCTCAGTCCTCAAGCAGCCTGTGTCGATCCCCTTCGGTTGCCCTTATTTCATTGTCTATTGTTCAACATATGTTTATGTGTCTACTTCCCGCACTAGCTATGGGAGTAGCTAGCTCTCTGAGCAGAGGATGGTTTATTATATCCTCCCGTGTGTCTTGCCTCATGAGTGGCTCATCATCACTGCTCAATAAATATTCGATTTTTATTTTTCAACCTCTCTGAAAAGTTCATGTCAATATTTTTAAAATAGCTCTTGAGAGGAACCAAGAGGAGTGAAGAAAGGATTTTGGAGACAGACAGATTTGGGTTCAAATCTAAGCTCTGCTGAGTACTAGGATGACTTCCTAATTCTTATCCTTTCCATGCCTCACTGGCTTCATTTGTAAAATGAAGACAAAATCTCTTTCATGGGTTTTTGTGAGAGTTAAAATGAGATCATGCACTGCTGGTGGGAATGCAAACTGGTGCAGCCACTATGGAAAATATTACGGAGATTTCTCAAAAAACTAAAAATAAAAATACCATATGATCCAGCTATTCCACTTCTGGGTATTTATCCAAAGACCATGAAAACACTAATTTGAAAAGATATGTGCACTCCTATGTTCATCACAGCATTATTCACAATAGCCAAGACTTGGAAGCAACACAAGTGCCCTTCAATGGATGAATGGATAAAGAAGATGTGGGGCCGGCCTGGTGGTGCAGTGATTAAGTTCACACGTTCCGCTTTGGAAGCTCAGAGTTCACTGATTCAGATCCCGGGTGCAGACCTACACATGCTTATCAAGCCATGCTGTGGCAGATGTCCCACATAAAACAGAGGAAGATGGGTATGGATGTTAGCTCAGGGCCAACCTTCCTCAGCAAAAAGAGGAGAATTGGTGGCAGATGTTAGCTCAGGGCTAATCTTCCTCCAAAAAAAAGCTGTGGTATACACACACACACACAATGGAATACTACTCAGCCATAAAAAAAATCATGCCATTTTCGACAATATGGATGAAGCTTGAGGGTACTACGCTAAGCATAGTAAGTTAGACAGAGACAAATACTGTATGATTTCACTCATACGTGGAGGATAAACAAACAACCACTTAGATAAGGAGAACAGGTAGGTGGTTACCAGAGGGGAAGAGGGTGGGGGAGGGTGAAAGGTATAAAGAGGCACAGGTGTATGGTGACGGATGAAAACTAGACTTTTGGTGGTGAACACGATGCGGTCTATACAGAAGCTGAAATTTAATAATGTACATCTGAAATTTGCACAATATTATAAATCAATGTGATTTCAATAAAATAATTTAAAAGGTAATAAATAACTAAATGAGTAAGCCAACAGGAAAAAAAAATGAGACCACGCAAGTAAAGAACCTAGCACAGTTCTGTCTTATCCTTACCCTCCCTTGATGTTAAAGCATTTTAAATGTTGAAACATTTTACTCTGGGACATGAATCATATTAATTTAATAGATTCATGCGACATTTTCCCATTGCTAATGCAGCCTTCCTTCCTGCAATAATTTCTTCTCATTTGCACTTGCGAGTTTTTCAAAGGCTTATCTTGTAAGTAGGATTGGACTTATCTATATGTCACCTGAAGAAATCCCAGTGATGGAGATGATGATGAGGCAGCTGCTCTGTTTGGTGCTGCGTTATTTCCATATGTGGAGAGTAGTCCTCACACCATCACACCGGCCTCTTCACCTCGACCGTTAACTTTAAAGAGGAGAAGAGATACCCATTAGGACACCCTTCTCCTTCCCCCTCCACTAAAAGTCAATTGCTACTTTCACCCATGGGAGGGGAGCAGTGGATTCCACTCGTCCATCCAACATTTATTGACTGCCTGCTGTGTACCAGCTACTGAGATAAAAGATGAATCAGCCAAGGTCTGTGCCTTTAATCAATCTAATGGGTTTGGGGCGAAGATAAGCATCTAACTAAACAAGGATGGTATGGGTACAGACGAGGGGACAGTCAGCGTGTCAGGAAAAGCTTCAGAAAGAGGTGATACTTGAGCTGAGTCCTGAAATGTGTCTGTCAACAGACAATGGGGGCAAAGCATTTCAGGCAGAGGAACCCCAACTCCTGTTCCTTCCCCTGTGATCACTACACACAACCTGAAGCTTCTGACTCTACCATCTTTACCTGTCCAGCCATCTTCTCCTTGGTCCAGGCAACTTAAATTCTAGCTTGGCAGCAGCAGGGCTGTTAATGCTGGTTCTGATCAGAGATCTGACATTGGAAGCTCTGCTGTTCTTTTGTTGCCAAAACCAGAAAACAGCTGGAGTGGTTTGAGCTCCGTGTGGGGGAGGGATGGAGGAGTTGAGCATGTGCGTGCAAGCATACCTGTGTGTCTGTGTGTATGAGTTTGAGAGTATGTGGGGATGTGTCCATTTGGGTAGCTGCCTAGATGTTTATCTCTAGGTGCTGCCACAGAAAACAGAAGTGGATATTGAGAAAACAAAGTGATAGCTCGACATCTCACAGACAAGCTGAAAGACTGCTCAGAGAAGGGGGAGGCTGAAACAACGCCGACAAAAACAAAACGAAATAGAAAAGGAAGTTGCATCAGAAGAGAAAGACTGCCAATGTCATGCTGAAGAGCCACAAATGTCACAAAATAAAAATAAAATGTGCGACTTTAATTTTACCAAGACAAATACTATTACAATATTTTTTTCTTTACAGTATTATTAAAATTACTGAAACAATAATATTTAGTGCAGGAAACATGGAGAACACAGAAGAACAAGAACAAAAGTTGATATAATTCTATTTATTTATTTATTATTTTTTTTAAAGATTTTTTTTTAATTTTTTCCTTTTTCTCCCCAAAGCCCCCTGGCACACAGTTGTATATCCTTAGTTGTGGCATGTGGGATGCCGCCTCAGCATGGTTTGATGAGCAGTGCCATGTCCGCGCCCAGGATTTGAACCGACGAAACACTGGGCCGCCTGCAGTGGAGCGTGCGAACTTAACCACTCGGCCACGGGGCCAGCCCTGATATAATTTTTAAAAGTTACATCCATCATATCTTATTTATTTGGAACCATGGTTGATTATAACATTGACTTCTACCTCCATATACAAGTTTTTTTATCCAGCACTTAAAAAATATTAAAAACAAGTTCTGAGATTGACTTACTGAAGAACATTTAAAAGGTCTCATTATTAGCACAAATCAAGAAATTTTAATAAAGATATTCTAATAATAGTGAAGTGACTGAAGACATCAGAGCAAGAAATACAGATCCCAGGAATGTTATTCCGTTTTTTCACTTCAGTTCATGTAGAAATGTTAGTCCCTTTACCAAAAGAAGTAAAAGAGGTGTTTTCCTTTTGATTAGATTCTCGTAACTACACAAATGAAAAATTTATAGGATTGGCTTTAGGTGAGGGGGTTTTATAAAAGGTTAATAAAACACTGGAATAAGCTTGGAGTCGGGTCTCGTATGAGTCTTTTGAATCTATTACTTTATAAATATAGTCATAGGAATTGACTTTCCATCACCTTCCTGGAATTATAATGGCTTCAGATGATTAACTGACTTGCCAGTCTCACAAATAGTTAAAAGTATATTGAATTTTGGGCAGTGAACTAGGGAAGTTTTGTGTGTTTTAGTTAAAGTGCAGAACAGTACTTCTCAACTGAATAAACTGTTAGTCCAGTGCCAGTTTACCAGGTAACTACTGAACGGGCTTGGGGGGGACAGAGTGAAGAGGAACTGACTAGGGAGAGAAAAGCACCCAGTAATGAAGCAGGGGAGCAAATAAGTCTGAGGCTCACACTGTTTGCATACAGCGGATACTCAGTGAATAGTTGTTGAAGGAATGAATGAATGAATGAATGAATATAAGTACAAAGAAAGTGGCATAAACGCGTAATTCAAAATGAAGATTAAATTCTGCGTCATGACAGAGTTATTATATTTCCCCTGTGATGTGTGCCTTGGCAATACATAAAGATGTAAAATTTTCAGAAGTTGTGAGACCCTTAAAGAAGAAAACATCTAAAAAATTAGTTTTGGGGGAAAATGGAAATCTATGCAAATCTAAGTATTTAGACTTTTTTAAAGATTTTTTTTTTAAGTCCAAATTCAGTGTTTAGGAACTTTAGGAACGTAGAAATGTGTTAGGTATAAACTGATTTACTCACAAAACCATTACATATTTTAAACGTAATTTATTCAAATAATATAAATTTACTAATTGAAATTGTTTTTTCTTTTGAGAAATAATTACTAATGGGGCTACAAGCTGGCATCAATTATCACTTGGCTTTTGCCAATTAAGAAATCAGCAAAAAGAAAGAGAAGAAACCATAAACATCAGAGTAAAAACAAACAAACAAAACCATAAAGTTCTATTTTTTTCTAGACTCACTGCCTTCCATAAGTCGTTTGTTTTCAGAAAAGAATCGAACGGTTGGAGGGAAAGAGAGAAAAAAATAAGCCAAACTCATTGCCTGCAACTTTTTTCCAAGCATCTACATTTTTGTTTAATGAGTGACTGCCCCCAAATTTGCCCGTTTCCCTGCTTTCTGGGCTTCCCCATCTCTGGGGGCTCTCCATCTGGACATATTTCCTGACACAGAACTTGCTAAGGATCTTGAGTCCCACTCCGGAGATGTCTCATAAACTCCCTTCCCCAGCTTGTGTTCTGGGAAGCCTGTCCTTTCTGACGGTGTTCCCAAGGAACGAGAAAGAGAGAAGAGGAGGCGTGTGTGACCTTAGGGATGCTAAGTTCTAAGTTTTGAATCTATAGATTTTTCCTTCAACGAGTGGCAGGCCATTCTTAATTCCTGCTCTTCTGTACTGAAGAACTTAGCATCACGTCCCCCCTGGTGATCTGAGGAGCTTTGCTCTTTGTCCAAAATACCTCTCTCTCCCGAAGCAATTTCCCCTCCTCTGAGAAAGGCTGTGTGTCAGGCTGCACTGCCCTTGAACCAGACAACTTTCTCTGCTTGTCTTTATCTGTCTAAATAAAGCTAACCTACATTTGCTGTCTAATTCATTCGGATGCTTGCTGATGCTATTTAAAGCATCCTCAAGGCTCCCTGGAAAACAAGATGCATTATCTCCAGTCGGGAAGCTTCAGGTTTGTTAGTCATTTAAGGAATTCCAGAATCTAAAGAATCCATTCAGTCTTCAGCAGTCCAGATGTGAAGGACAAAGGAACTCTTCGAGCTTTTTTATTCCAGGCAGTCTTCTTTGACTTGTACGTTGCTGGGATCTGTCGATAGCAAAAGAGGTAGCTAGAAAGTTAATCGCTCTTTCTCTCTGTGTGAGTGTGTGACAGTCTCTTTGTCTCTAGGCTTCACAAAATCCAGCTTTTCTGAAGATTAATTGCTCAACAGAATGTATTTTTCATTGTAGGCTCTGATAATTGGTTAGTCCACTGTGAGTTTACTTTTCCCTCTCAGGGAACAAATGCAAAAGATCAAAAGGAGCTGTCACCTAGTAAACAGGCTTTTGGTGAGTTTTTGGCTTGTCTCCACCTCCTCCTCTTCAGCTTCCATCTAACATTTCATTAGAGAATCTTGGTACTTCCACGTTTCAGAAAAAAAAAAAAAAGGAAATTCTAAACAGGGAAAGAAATAAACAGGGAAGGGAATAAAATATTGGGGTTGTAAACAGGACTCCACTCTGCACTTCTCTACGACTGGGAGTTCAGAGAGGTCAAATCTGTTGCTCCTTTCTTCAGATATGGTATTTATGTCGGTCTCTTGGCTAGCTTAGCAGGAGGGAGAGCTGGTACAACGGCATGGTTTTAACCATCAGTGCCCCACTGCTCCCTCAAGCACATGCTTTTATCAGCATTCACTTGTTCAGCCACGATTCTGTGACGTCCATTGCAGTGAGTGAGTCAGAAGCCACAAGCTAACAGGTCTATTCCTTCCCGCCGTCACCTAGGAAACCAATGCATCATCCAGAGGAAATGCAGGCCCCAATGGGGACTGTGCCCAGATCGGGTTATAAAGCCGGCAATGAGTTTTCCAAAAGAGGTCAAATAATAATGCGTAGAATCTCTGTCTAGGGTGAGAAGAGGATCCAGCCTCTTTAGGCACGGATGGAGGACTGTCAAGCAGAAATACCAGGAGAAAGTAATCAGCCCAAATCATGTAAGATGTCTGCTTTACAGGAAATTGACCAAAGGCAAGGGGTATGGAGATACAGTTTGATTCCCCCAGACTGCAAACGCATTTATTTGCCCATTGGCTGAGGGTATATATTTTTTGTTTGTTTGGACAGTGTGTGAAGTGAGATGAGGAAATTGACAAGACATCAAACCAGGCTTTCTGCTGAGTGAAATGTATAGCCCCTTTTTCATGGTCACTCACCCCTGGGTTAAAAAAGCGATGGAGGGGCCGGCCCAGTGGTATAGTGGTTAAGTTCGCATGCTCTGCTTCAGTGGCCCGGGGTTCACAGGCCTGGATCCCGGGCGTGGACCTACACACCACTCATCAAGCCATGCTGTGGCAGCATCCCACATACAAAATAGAGGAAGATTGGCACAGATGTTAGCTCAGGGCCAATCTTCCTCACCAAAAAAAAAAAAAAAAAAAAAAGTGATGGAGAGAGAATTCTTTCAGAGAAAACCACACCCAGATTCCCCTCATGCTTTTACTGTTTTTTTCTGCCTGTGCCTTATTTTCTCCCCCCTCGACTACTATAGTTCAGCATAGTCCATTGGCCTTAATGTATATATACAATTTACCACACACTATCCACATGTCTGTGAATATAAGCTTAATACAGCTGAGAAAAATTAGCTGCACAGTTTCATGTTGTTTGCTGAGCTTAATGTTTCCAGGCAGATTTATACTCTCATACCACTATGGTGAAAGATTCTATGTAAAGGTACAATGTGAGTTCTCCCAGAACTTCCTGTTTTAGACTCACAGAATATTAGAACATCAAAAAACAAAACAACTCAGAAATCATCTGGTCCAACCACCTCATTTTTCACATGAGAAATGAGTCCCAAAGAAGTGATTTGTCTAAGGTCATATAGAAGATTAGTGTGTATGTTGGGGACGAGGGAGAGGAGAAAAAAGAGGTAGGAAGCTTGACCACAAGTTCAAAATGAGTCAACAAGAGATATGGCACCTCAAAGACTGTTAAAATATTAAGCTGTGTTAATTGACGTATGGAGTCCTGACTAAGAGGGGCACTTGGTAACCTCCGGGCTGGTCAGTGTTGCCAAGAATAAGACATTCTGTCCTTAGTACCCACTCTATGGAGAACAATGACAAACCCAAATGTGCCCAGAGGAGGGTAAAGATGGCGCTAAGAGTTTTAGTAACTATAACCGAAGAAGAACAATTAAAAGCATTATACTATTTAGCTTGCAGACCAGAGGATTGTCATGGAGGGGGTGGGGGGAGGGTCTGTTAAATAATTAAAAGGCTGTCT